CCGGTGGTGGGAGCCATTAAATTGACGGCCGACAAAGCCAATAAGATGTTCGAGGCGGCTTGCGACGGTCTCAAGGCCTACACGGCCACTGTAGACCGCGTGGGTACCGGAACTTTCTTCTATCAATGCGTCTTCTTGCTTCTCCGCCAGAAACCGGAGGTGAGGTTTCGTCTGATTTTTCGATCTTTGTCTGGATGGGTGTCATAAATTTGTCTGCTTGAGGGGTTACAGACGGGTTTCTTATTAGGTTCTTCATAGGAAATCATGACTATCATGTTAAAAGGGATCGGGATTTAGATGGGTGATTCAATCAATGACTAGAATACAAGTGAACCCAGGTTTTATTTGGCCAATGCAAATATCTCAGATCGATATGTACATTGTACACCCATTATGGCGTATATGAAATGTTCAAAACTCCAAAGTTCAAACTTTTCCACGGGCAGATATTAAGGGTATTGTATCAAATCCTGGAGTTTGGTGTTGGATATGTTTACTTTGAATCAATCAAGAATGTCAGGGTGATGCTCTGCATTTTTTGTCTTGAAACTTTTTCGTGTGTGTGTATATATACATATATGTATGGTGTTTCGTTATATGTTTACAGGTAATGGGAGCTGGTGCACACTGTACGAACCATTTCAATTACTACAGCACCATACGTAAGTTATTTCTGGCTTAAACTTGCTTCTACTTCAAAAGAGAATGTAGCGTCGGTGTATGAGGGGAACTGAAATTATGAGAGAATGGACAATAGGATTTGGTCGATTCAGGTTAAGTTCCATAGCAGAACCAATGGATGCTTATGCAGAATTTCTATGTACTTCAGTTTTTGGATGTGGTTCTGGTTTACCCAACACACTTATCCAATGGCCTGAAAACTATGTTGTGTCTGTGTAAACCCACATCCTAAATCTCGTGGATTGTTTGTCTGAATCTCCTCCCAAGTTCAGTTTTTGTGTTGACCCTTTTGTCCTTTTCATCCATCTTGTTAATAAACTTTCTTGTCCACCAATGCTACAGCTTACATGCCACATCTGAGCCTCCTTTACAGCGACTTAACAGATGAAGAGAAGAAGAAAGCGCAGGAGAAAGCTTATTGTCTTGATGAGAGCCTCGATGGCCTGAATTTCCGGTTAAATCGACTCGCTCTCTGCAAAACCGATACGGAAGACAAAACTCTGGAATCGTGGAAGAAAGTGGCTGAATGCAATCTCAGTCCCTAACTAAAGCTGGGAAGAAAGAAGAAGAACTAAGATAGAGTTTGGTCTTGTGTGTTTGTGTGTTTGTTTGCTTTTGTGCCTTTGTAATATGATCTTCTTCATCTTTCTACACATCTTGGGGTACTATTACTAATATATACATATCATATATGATATTTATATGATGGAAGGACATATTCCTTTTTTTTTTCCTGAGAAGCGAGACAGTGAAGCTTCTGAAGGTTTTCTGAGCAGCCGATCCGGTTCAACCGGTTTCTGATATTTAACCGGTTCCAATTTCTTCTTTCTTTTCTTCCGGATAGCTTGGTTGGTTTCGTATACATTTCAATGATTTCACCCCCAATATTTAAAGTTATTTTTGTGTATTTCTTTGCTTATAGTCTGTCCATTTGATGTATTATATATAGGCTAACCAGTCGGTTCCGGTTTTAGCATTCATAGATCGGTTTAGGGAAGTTAAAAATCTACTGTAATTTTCAAACAAAAGTGAAAGAGGGATTTAAAACAAAAAAAGAAAAAGAATAAAAACTTTGGCGATGAATGCATGATCAATGTACGAAAGGTTGATGTGTATTTGTCATGTCCCCTTCCATTGGAACACTCTTTGGAGCGCTTCAACTTCAAGTTGCTTCAAAGGACATCCCCGTTGCCCAATCATTTTCACTTGCGGTTTTCAATTTCGATTTTCTTATATATATATATATATATATATATATATATGTATGTATGTATGTATGGTTTCTACAATGTAACAACAGTTCACAGGAATATTAATGTCCAAATTTTCTAAAATAGATATGCATAAACCCACTAGACTAATTGGTCCTCTATCTTAGGAGGATCTCTATCTCTCCACCAAACTTTTTACCTTGCATGTTGATCCCCAAAAAAGACAAATTATTCAGCCACAAGCATATATATATATATATATATATGTATGTATGTATGTATGGTTTCTACAATGTAACAACAGTTCACAGGAATATTAATGTCCAAATTTTCTAAAATAGATATGCATAAACCCACTAGACTAATTGGTCCTCTATCTTAGGAGGATCTCTATCTCTCCACCAAACTTTTTACCTTGCATGTGAAATTTAAAGTTTATATATATATATATATATATAATATATGGAAGAGGGCCCAAAGGACAGCACCTTCATCAGGCAACAGCTATATAATTATAGCCTTATGGGCCACAAGTGCATCCCCACCATACTTTTTATCAAATGCTTTCCAAGAATTTCATAATATGCAAACAATTCATTTTTTTTTCCAGAATTTGTTGTGAACCACATCTTGACTCCCAACCCTTGAGGATTAGCTGTGAGTATTTGCTTATTAAATTATCCATTTTGTTTGGCCAATTAACATACGTAATTATAATATTTTCAATATGTGTTTTGGATTTATTAATAATTCCGACATAAACCCTTAAAAAAAACACTGTAAAATGTAAAACCTCAAGACATTACATATATGTCTGATGCTATTTATGTAATAGTATCGGATAACTTAATTTCGACATTAAAATATATATAGCTATAGAGTTCTTGTGAGCGTGTCTTAGCAAATTAAGAAAATGGACCTCTCGGACGTGTCTTTAGACTTTCTCCTAACACCGCATTATCTAAACATAATATTAGCAAGTACTCCAAAAAAAAAAAAATAAATTGAAAATGATTAGGTTGGAATAAATGTTTTTTTATAACAAAAAAGAAATAAAAGAAGGGAGAGAAACTAATTAATAGATTGCATTGAATTGGATTAGGTGGCGGCATTTAATTCGTCGTCCCACATTGATATGTTTTTATGTTTTTTTTTATAATCTTTATTCAGTTCATTTTCACATGCAATACGAGGTGGTAGCTCATGCTTCTATGTATATCATAAAGAGATTATTATAATTATAATTGTCACACGGTCAAAATTAGCCAAATATATATGGTAGAGCCATTCATTTTCTATTGCGTGATAAAATTAATGTCCTATATGTTGGCTTAGCCCGATGTACAATCCGCTCATATAATTCTAATTTGGTTTTTATTTTTAATTTGAACTTACGTCACTCTCAGAAGCGAAAACATGTTTTTTTACGTCTTGGTAGTAAAATTGAGAATAACTTTCAAATTTACTTGTGTTAGGGTTTTGATCTTGACAAGATTAGGGTTTCTTGACAGTTAAAAATTTGACTTGCAAAAACTCTAACGTCAATTGTCAAACGGCATAAAAAATTTGATTTAATGTCGGTCCAGATTAATGTGTTGATATATAACCGCAAGGGAATAAAAGATATTATCATTCTATAAGATTAGAGCGTGTGTATGTGTGTATATGCCATTAATTACCCTAAATGGTTTATTAAATAGAATGGGGATTAAAGACTGCACATCACATGGTACTCTCTCTCTCTCTTATTTTGTCACAACATTGCTCCAAATACTTATATTCTTCAATTATTGAACACACATATGAAATAAATATTTAAACGCTTGAAAATTTTCCTTCCACACACATTGATGCCTTTAGAAAGTATTTAATCCTATTAGAAAATTGACCTCTGCCTTGTTTTGATCTATTTAAAACCATATGGGATTTATCTAATTAATTTATAAAATAAACAAGTGGGATGGAATATATTTTTTTTCCCTCATATTCCATTTTCGGTCATTTGGAAAATAAGATTTAATTGATGATTGATGCATAATCTTTGGAGGGGGGAAAGAGAGAGAGAGAGAGAGAGAGAGAGAAGAGAAGAAGCTAATCTCGGATGGGCGGCTTCGTAACCTTCGGATGCTGTAAGAAGTTTATATTCATATATTTCCAAATTAAGCCTTCTTCGTGTCTTGTCCACCATACGCTCGTACGGTTCATCTTTTATTTTTCATATCACTCTAATACTCTTTATATATGTATGTATGTATGTATGTATGTATGTATGTATGTATGTATGGATCATAGGTTGAATAGCGTCATCATGGACACACAAACAGGAAAATGCCATTCTTTCATACTAATACAATATATATATACACACACACACACACATTATATTAATTTATTTAGTTGAATACTAAAACTTGAAGTCATATATAAAATATTGTTTCACATTGCAAACTCGGATGGAGAGTTAGTATCCGATACTATTAAGTGATTTATTTTTGTTATCTAATGAAAAAAAATCTTATTTCACCTACCAACAAGGTACTTTATCGTTGCTGTAATCTATATTTTACATGTGAATTACCCTTTTTTAGTATTTGTTACCAATAAGCATCGCGAAAGTTTCAAGATTTTAATTTTTTAAAAAATAAATAATTTTTTTTTTCTTTTACCGAGTTTTGCCAAAGTATTTAGTGTCTTACATCTCTTTCATACGAAAGGAAAGCCAACTAATTAGGGTGTTAATAGTTGAGTTTTGCTTGCATCTATGGAACTTAATGACACTATGAAATTTCTTCTATCACATTTAAGAACATTAATCTACATATTTGTGCAGATAATAAATCTTAATTATTATCTGCACAACCCATTTCAGATCCGGTCAATACAATTAGGAAATATGTTTATATTAGAATAATTCTTTAAGAAACTGTATAAAAATAACATTTAAAACTTCTTAAACTATAATATATATATGGTAAACAATTAGGAGATATAATATTGGATAACAAAAAAACCCTAACAAAAACTTAATTATGAATCCAGTGAATGAAGGGAAAAAGTGAAGGAGGTGTACATATTGCTTTATAAATATAGGCCATCTCCTTTGTAAAAACCTCACCCTTCCATATTCTGCAACTTGTTCATCCCATTTCCTCCGAGGAAGAAAAAAAAACCTTTCTTCCTGTTCTTCCCCTTACACAGGTCAGTATTGCTGTTCCCCAAACCCTTCGAACATTATCTTCTTCATGAGATAACTTTGCTTCACTTCTTTTGGTCCCTGACCAAATCCTTGCTCCTCTAAGGTTTCTTTTTGTATCATTTATCCCCTTTTCAGTATTTTTTCTCTCTTATATTATAGGTAAAAGATTCATTTATTTCCTTATTGGGAAGATTTAACATCCAAATCCTTGGTCTTTTTTGTTCTTGCTTTTCTTTACTTGGAAGAAAAACTGCAAAGAGCATCAAATCTATGAACAATCAAGTGAAGTAGCAATTTCCTGGTTCAATTTTTTTCCTTCCTTCTCTTTCTTTGAAACCCTCTTGGAATCTTGATGTACTCTTGTCTTATTATTTTTTTTAACATGTTTTATATAAGATTTAAACTTTAGTTACCCGTCTAATCCCAAGAACCCTCATGAAAACCCCAAATTTGTCATCTTCTTGAATTTTCCCAAAACAATCGTTTCATATATCAGTGAATTCAGGAAAGGAAATCAAATCAATGATATTTCTTTGAGAAGATTTGGATCCCTATCAAATAAAAAGTTCCCCTCTTTTTCCCTGTTTCACATCTCAAGATTGTTCTTCCATATAAACTCAAGAGAGAAAAAAAACAAAACCCATAGGGGTGGGTGAGTACCTGGATATCTTTCAGATTAACCATCTCTTAATATGTGGTCAAGATTTCAGTTGAACTCTTTCCAAACATACATACATATATATACATATATATATGCACACGCATCTACATATATGAGAAATCTGGAGTACATAACTTTCAAGAAAATGTTTTGATGGGATCTGAATGATTGCGAACAGCAACCACGGCGTACCAAACGGAGTTGGGATCAGATCAAACCTCTCCCCAGAGGAAATCTGGGAGAGGAAAGATCGAAATCAAGCGGATCGAAAACACTACGAACCGTCAAGTCACTTTCTGCAAACGCAGGAACGGCCTTCTCAAGAAAGCCTATGAGCTCTCTGTCCTCTGCGACGCTGAGGTCTCTCTCATCGTCTTCTCCGGCCGCGGCCGCCTCTACGAGTACTCCAACAACAGGTCTTTACACACTCTCCTCTCTGTTTTCTTTTTCATCCATGCCTGTATCTTCTCGTTGTTTCTCATTGTTTGCCTGATCTAGGGTTTTCTGATTCATTACGCTTGAAATTGTTTCTAGGGTTCCTTTTTTTAGATTCTTTATGCCTTGAAGTTATTCTATTCTTCTTCTATGGTTTTAACTACACGCCTTTGGGGTTCCTTATCACCTTTTTCTTGATGTTGCATGTATAACATGTATGTATATGTGACATGTACACACACACCCTTGGTTCATTTTTTTTTTGTAGATTCTTGGTTTTGATTATTTTAGGGGTTCTCTTTGTGTTCACAAAAAAGAAAGAGACTTTGGTGCTAAGCGTCTCGATCTTAATTCCTCCAAGTGTCTTTTCTACTTTAACCAGAGCTGCTTCTGTTCTCTCTTCTTTTGAAACACAAATATTATGAAGCAAAAAAAAAAAAGGTAATTGAATATTTGGGGATAGATGTGGGAGTTGGATAACATACGAGTAATAAAAAAAAACATAACAAGTTCTAATGTGGAGTTTTAGATTCAGTCTTGTAAGATTCACTTTGTTGGTTCCTACTTCACTCATTCTGTTATAAAATTTCTTTTTTACTTCTTTTTCCATCTAGCAAGTACTGTGTGATCTGGTGCTGTAATAGGTAAAATCTTGATTTTTATGGTAATATAATATGCAAGTGAATTTAGCAAACGATGGGTATTAGATTTTTGAAGTGAATTACATATATATACACATCAATATATGTGGGTGGAAAGTACTATATATATATACATATGTGTGTGTGAGGTCATCTTCTCTCTTTTGATCATCCTCCATTATTGTCAATGTCCGTGTTTCTCTTTCTTTTCTCTTCTTCTCTTTCCTTTCCTTTCTCATCTCTCTCTCTCTCTCTCTCTCTCTCTCTCTCTCTCTCTCATACACACACAGACATGGATTCGCATCATGTTTGATATGTGACACAGCTGACGGTTGAGAGTAAATCGCGAGGAGATAAATTTATTTATTTTTATAAGATATAATAATTATTATATGATCTTTCATATAAAAGTGGGTACATGTAGGGCATGTGTGATCTCGTAATGTTTTGGAATGCAATCTCTTCAACTTCTTGTTGCTTACTTCCTCAGTGGCTTATCAAAGAAACTAATTTAGGTTTCAGAAGAATTCCATGAAAAAAAATCATAAGCTTTCAAACCTTAGAAAGGAGAAGAAAGCTCATCAGATCTCTGAATTAGGGAATATATATAAAAAAGATTCATCAATCATAACATTTACTTTCTGTGTTTTTTTTTTTAAAATTTCTGGAAAGTGCAATTAATTCTTCAAATTTAGGGTTTTGAAGAGTTAAGAGAGCATATACATGGGATTTTATCTTCATGGTCCCATTTGATGCAAGAAAAAGAAACCCTTAATATTCCCTTTTCAAATCAATCACAGCCAAATTCACATCACGACTCAAATTAGGGATCCCTTTGACCTTTTTCATTAGGGTTTGTCTAAATCCACACGCAATTTCCCAAACTCACGTGATTTCTCTTCTGAAGCCAAGAACATTTCTTCAGTTAGGTCTTTTTACTTTTCTTAATCACTTACAGTTGTCTACTTGTGTACTAAAATGTTTCCTAAGTAAATAAGAAAAAAAGGAAAAAAAAAACTTCAAATCAACCAAATCAAACCTCATGCTATACCTTATCGATTTTTCTTTTAATATACCTATACATATATGTACATATAAGATATGTGCTTACGTATATGAATCGATTGATGTAGAGTCAGTTCTTCAATTCTCTTACCTATTGGGTAAAAAAAGGAACTGGGAAATGTTTCTTTTTTCTCATTTTTGGTTTTTTTTTAATGGTGATTGGGATGAGGAGCAAGATTAGGTTTTTGGCCTCTGTAAGATTTGTTGCCTTTGAGTTGCGACAGAATCTTTGATCACGTCATCACACAGATTTTATATGTTTTTTTTCACTTTTTTTTTTTGGTAGTTTCAGTCTTTGACAAGGTGGGTGCATGTGTCATGATTTCTTAAGTTGAAAATTTATACCAACCTTGGTTTACTTTGTCAATTTTACATTACTGTTTCTAACCGTTTAAACTATAAGTTTGACATTCGGGCGTTACTAAATAGATCCCTAAAAATATATAATAAAGTATGCCAGGAAAAAAAGATATATACATACATACATACAGATATATATAAAGAAGTACTATAATTATATAATAGTTAAAGGTGTAAATATATAGTCTGATTAAGCACATGATTTCGACTGATAGCATGATTTGGTTTCTAGCACCATATATATATTCAAATCACTTACCTTTTGGTGAATAAAACTAACTCTAACTTTCACAACATAAAAAGAGAAAAAGAAGTTGATACATTTATGCAAGTTCTCTCTCTTTGTTTTTGAAAAAACATCTTCTAATTAATATTTCTATATGGTGACAAAAAAAAAAGTTTTCTAGAGAGAGAAAGTTAGGGTTTTTTTTTTCAGTCTCTCTCGCTCCTCGTTGTAAAGATGAAATGAGATTTCTCGTACGGAACCAATAGAAGAAGAGACTGAGTTCTGCAATTCTGAGTTTCTGAATTTTCTTTTGTCTTCTTCTGCCATTTGAAAGCAACGGCTGCTGAGCTCCTGCTGTTCCAAAATGGACGGTTCAGATTTCCCATAAATTTTCTTTAATTATAAAAGTATATATACACATGCCGTCTTATGTATACATACATACATACATACATACATTTTCTACTATGCATTATAGCATATATATGCGGCTTTACTTTCAAGTCTCTTTAGAAAATATTTTTTTTGACTTTAGGAAATTTGGATTTTTTTTAAATGGTGTTGTTTTCATTTCTTTGTATAAATATGTACTCAGCGCTTTACAAAATAATATGTTTGACTATTCAAGATATTTTAGAAGACGTATAGCATTATATTGTACATCCATGGTATGATTAATATGCAATCAGAGTTATCAATTATAACCGTGACTTTTTTTTTTTACAAAAACAAAAAATAAAATGTTAGCTTTAAAGAAGCCATGCATACATTTTCAGTTTGATTTGGTTGTCTATGGGTCTTGTTATTTTATATTTACAATGGGGGAAAAAAAACTCAAATACGAGTTTGATGGCCAATCAAATAGAGATATCTCAGTCTCTGTATTGATATCCCAAATAAGGAAAGGTATGAACTGTTGCTTGGAGGTCATTTTTTAATTACAGCAAATCCAATGGTTACAAGAATAAGAAACGGGTGATGTGATGATCTAGTGGACGCTTTGTTGTGTAATGGGTTTGTGACACGTGTCACGTGTCCAAGATTGAGATTGAATCAGACCAATCATGTCATTGTGAACTGTGCCAGCATGGCAGAGTCAACCAATCGCCAGCGCGAGGATATTAAGGTTTCCTACGATGTGTGTGTGTATATATATATAGTTGTACGTTACATCAAGTGTCACGTTATGCTGTGAATCAAAAGAAACGATGTTTGTTATGAAGGTTTCGTATTACAATTGCTTGATTGGACCGTTAATGTCGATAATTTTTTTTTAATTTAAATCGGATGCAGTGTAAAAGCAACGATTGCGAGGTACAAGAAGGCTATATCGGATAACTCCAACTCAGGATCAGTCTCCGAAATCAACGCCCAGGTGATTTATATATATCCCAAACGCATTCAAATACAAATTACATTGAAATTGTCATCAAGTTTTCACTGATTTTGTTTAGACATTTAGACGATAGTATAATCTCACCATTAATGAAATGATTGTCCTAGTTAACATAACGATTTAATATATATATTTAGAGCCTAATTACTGAATATTTTGTTCAGCATTATCAGCAAGAATCGTCGAAATTACGTCAGCAAATCATTCGAATACAAAATTTTAACAGGTAAGGCTGCTTGATGAATAAGGGCAAAGTTTACTCTCTTTTTTCTTTTCAGTAGATGTGAGTAAATATAATCAATTTTACAAAATAATATTTGGCTATATATATATATATATATATGTGTGTATATATAAATCTATGAGTGGTGTGATGGTGTTATGGTTGTGGGGAAAAGGCAAATGTTGGGTGAGACAATAGCGTCAATGAAGCCCAAGGAGCTCAAGAATATGGAAAACAGATTAGAGAACGGAATTAGCCGAATCCGATCCAAAAAGGTATATACATACATATATACGCTATACACACAGAGACATATACACATATACATATACATCATATGCACATATGCGATCTAAATCTCAGATCATTATTGTTCGTTTTTTGGGGCAGAACGAGCTATTGTTCGCGGAAATTGAACACATGCGGAAGAGGGTGAGAATCATAATGATATACATACATGTTCACACAACCTCTCTCTCTCTCTCTCTCTCTAGTTAAATTAAATTGCTCTTGTAATGAAGTTTATCTTGTATTTTTTATGATTAATATATATGTTCTAATGGTGAAATGTTCATCAGGAAATTGATTTGTTCAATGACAACAACCTTCTCCGAGCCAAGGTAAGAGCCCTTCCACGCCTGCATGGATGCATAATGTTTTTTTTTTCAACACAATATTCGTGGTTTCCAAATTTGGTATAATCATTGATATATGTTTTATATATATACATATATACAGATAGCTGAGAATGAGAGGAACCATCCGGGCATGATGAACCTGATGCCTGGAGTCGGAGGATCCAACGGTTACGAGGGGCAGATGATGGGAGAATCTCAGCCGCTGGATTCGCGTAGTTATTTCCATGTCGCCGCTTTGCAGCCAAACCTCCACCATTTCTCCGACAAGCAGCAAGACCACACTCCACTTCAGTTAGTGTGCGTAACATCGGTCTCATCTCTCCTCTTTACTTCCCCATTTTCACATATGTTTTTGCAGGTAATATCGCCTCCAAGGACTGGAGAACGAATAATGGCAAGGACGTGCATGGAGCTATATGTACAAGTGTAGGAGGGGCATCACATATATATATATATATATATATGTATATGTATGTTAGTTATTCTACGCAAGTTTGTAGAAATAATGCCAAACTTATATATGCCTAAGTTGGTGCGTAATATCGTGAGATTTTCCTACGAGGAAAAAGAAATCAAAGAAGGCAATTGATGTAAGAACCCCTTATTATATGCTCTATATGTGAGACATTTATATTTGTAATCACATTTATTATGCATACCCCCGGCCCCCGTTACGCATTTAATTCTACATATATGTATGTGTGTAAACGTATTTCGAATTAATTTGAAACTCAATACGCTCATTATAATCATTTCTTTCCGCACATGCATGCCCATGCCACGGCTACTTTTGTCTGTACAAATACCTTGGAAACATTTTGATGTGTATGGATTTATCATACATTCATCAAAAAAGAATTTAGGAATCCAAAAAGCAACAAGTAACACCATATTGTTATGATCAAAATATGACATTACCCATCATCATAAACAGATTTTGATGTCAAAAGGATAACATACAAGCAAGGTCTCCTTCCGTATACATTCTTTTCTTCTTTCGTCTCGGCATCATCATCTGATCCTAGAGCATGGCCAGGTGCTCGATATCGTAAGGATGAGCATCGTTAGGCGACTCAGCTCTGAAAGATCTTCTACCGATGATGATATTGGCGGCTTCACCAGGATGAAACGCGTCCCAGAACACGAACTCGTTCCTGTTCAGACATGGAGCTTGACCAGGAAGACACGTTATCTGACCGTTGTTCCTCCCTACTCCACAGCACCCTGCGTTTGTAACCCCAAATCCTGAAACCATACAGCAGAAAAACAGATGAAGGAGAGAGAGATCACCAAATCGGTGGGTTGAAGTGATAATTTCAAGGGGTTTTCCATAATTGAGTGCAGTTACCATAGCGAGCGGGATTGTTGACGATATCTTGGAAGACGCCATAAGCGTTGATGTAAGTGAACTTAGCATCGGGAGTTTTCTGGTTGAACTGGTCGACGAGAGAGATTAACCTAGCGTTGAACATCCGGTTTGCTTCGTTGATCCTCTCGTCGCAAGTCCTGCCGTCTTGGCTGCGCTGTGCTAGCTCGTTTGGGCTGCATCCTATAGCCCCTATCCCCACCAGCGCGAACTTCCTCGCACCATTGTTGTACAGTATCTGCTCCATTTCAGAGAGAGCATATATATAAGCTCGAACAAGAAATACCCAGATGGATGAATCGATCTAGAGAGAGAGAGAGAGATGTGGTGCACGGACCCGGAGTTGGTCGGCGTAACGGCTGATGAGGTCGTCGGCGTATTGGTCGGGAGAGAATTGGCTGCCGGTGGAGTAATAGAGAGGCATGAAGTAGTTGTTGAGATAATCATTGCTTCCTAACCCAATGGAGTAAATGCATTTGCTTAGGTAATTAGCCGCTTTGCTCTCATCTCCCAATATGTTCACCACTCTTGCCACAGTGTTTACATGGTAGCTCACTTGCCCTGCAAACGTTATTCTCCCTCCCTTCACCAAAAACCAAATATTTTTTTCCCAAAAAGGTATCAACTTTCGAAAACATTTTTCAGATCAAGTATTGGGTACTCGCCAGTCGTTAGCTGTCTGTAAAAAAAAACACATGTACGTGTTCTTCCTTAAACTGTACCAGTTGTCGTCCAGTTTCTTCTCTGATTCCAGCAGCCGCAGAAGCATAGTTCACTCCTCTGAGTATGTCTTGTCCTCTCGCAGTAACGTATGGCGTAATGTAATCTTCAAAACCCAGGAGCTCAGCTTTTAGATCAGCAAAAGACAAAAAAGAAGTTAGTTCGTAGAATGCATGATAATCTGGACAAGAGAATGCTGACAAAAGAACAGACAAAACGGGAGAAAGAAACAGAAGATGAAACGACAAGTACCGATGACATCGACGGTGGTTTTGCCATTGGAGAACCTTCCTGTCGGGCCAAATGGGAAATCGATACCGTAAGGGAAGTAATCAGCTCTTGCTAAGGACGAGAGCTGGTTATTGTTACCACTGTCTACCAATGAATCACCGAAAATGAAATAACATGGGGCTAATGGTTCACTCGAAGCCATGTTCATGGCCAATGCCATCATAATCACTAAAAGACACTGCTTTTCCATCTCTCTCTCCAAAACCTTAAACCCAATAAGAGCAAGGAAACGAAGATTTGTGAAGAGATATGGTTAGGATCCGGGAAGAACACAAATGGGTTTTATATAAACGTATAGGGAATGCAACAATAAATGGTAAAGTTTCTAACTTTGACAGTTGAAGTGCATTAAATGTCACGCGGCGATAACATTTTGATATAAACAAGAAAATTATGCAAGTAAAATTGCATTGGGTTTGGTGGATCCAAGAACATAACTAGAGGAAGAGAGTTAATTGCTCCGCTAATGTCTTTGACTTTTATGTCATCCTTGTCTTCACCACAGCCAGACCAACTTGTACGTTGTACACTGTTGCAATTCATTAACTTGTTTTGAATAAATCTAATCGGTTCAAAGCTGTATCATACGGAAACCAGGGTTCTTTCAAATTCAGTTCTATAAAGCAATTGGAATTTAAGCCATTGAGCAAATGCGCATTACACAGACCAAGGCAAAGATGTGGACATACCAAAGACCTTTTCTCTATTAACTTCGGTTTTGACTCTAGCAGGGTAATGGCTGCTCTGAAATGGATAGCAAAACTGTTGAAAAAACCATGACAGCATGACATGAATGAAGGACCCCACTTGCACTGTCCTGCATAAGAGCCGATGGCTGAGATCGGTCTGGATGGATCCATCCAACGGTGAAGAATGATGTGTGGATGGATGTAATTACGATGGTGGATGAAACATACATTAAATGGAAGACCATGTCATGACGATGATCATCAAGGTTGACCTGATTTTGGGTGGTTGAGCAATAACTTCTCCTTAGCTCTGCCTTAATGTTCATGCTCCCTTTCAATAATATCACTTTGGGAAACCAAACGTGATGGGGGGGAGCTTCATCTTCGCCCCACCACAACTTCATATTCTATTTCACTCCTGGTTTTAAGCATTCATCAAAAAGCATAAAGAAATGAATCAGCTACCAGTTGCAGCTTCATGAAGAAAGAGATTAGGACAATAACCAGCAAAAACTATACTTTCAAATTGAGTAAAAAAACTGATGTTATGCTCATAAACAATGGTTTTAAGGTTTGACAATAAATGTGAGCATTTGGGATATGTGATGGCATGTGGGGGTGTTAATACAGAGCATTCAAGGAACGACCAAGGCAGGACAGTTAAAGCAAACATGTTGAATGCATCTTCAAACAGAGAAATATTCAAGTCCTTTCTTTATATATTTTCTCAACACCACCAATCACATGCCCTTATTTATGAGCTCTGCAATGCAAAGTGACAGTGTATCATTGAACACAGACAATTCAGTTCAGTAGTTTGATTTAAAAAGAAAAGAAAAAACATAAAATTTTCCATCTTTTTGATAAAACAACAGGTTAGGATTACACTAAAGAGCATTTGATGTCAAATTAAAAGTAACATCCCAAGCTCAAAGTGTTCCGGGACTTTCTCAAGACCACAACTTGATGATGGCAAAAAGTGTTTTAGATTGAATTTTGTTGATCATGGTGAATGAGATGATGACAGAGCCATACAGCGACTCAGTGGTGAGCTTCAATCTCATGTTTCTAGTGAGTAATCTCCTAAACTTAGCCAGAGACAATGGACAAATATCAAATGTTCAGTAACAACAAAGAACGAAACCAAATGAAAACCGTAGACAAAACCAAGAAAGTAGCATCACTGACCAAATATATGCAAACAAAGGGGTTCTGGCAGAAAGTCCAGAAGATTTGGCTGGGATACCAATCATATTCCAACATGGCAAACTAGTTGAAACTGTATTAGATCTCGGTATCTCTCTACGTAGAGGTTACATTCCGTATGGAACAGCATAGAATTACAAAGGAATTGAACATTCTCAACGAACGAATGTCTAGCAAAATCAAGGATCCAGAAGAGTTTGTCAATTAAATGAACATATAGCCTCTCTAACCTTGTGTTAGCTTGGTGCTATAATTCACCAGAGCGGTTTTGAGCAGAGAAGAATTTTAAAGCCATTTCCTTTGCAACTTGAAGCAAACCCTTAACGTCCTCGCTGCCAACTTCAAGACAGTCCTTTAATAAGCCTCCATCCACCACCTCTGTTTGCACCATCTCCCAAAATTCCCTCAGTGCACCCTACCACGCCAAGCGACAAACCAAAGAGAATGAATGGGGAAGAAATCGTGAAGACAGTTTCAGACAACACATGGTAGAACAAGATTCATCATTTAACACTATTGCTTTTCGGTTACGACAATTAAAATCAACCGCCCTTGAGACCTCGGACGAAGACAATCCTCCGTCATCCCGCGATGACAAATTCTAGCAACAAAGCTTCCACTAAGAACATGGCGCAAACAACAAAACCAAGATCTATTACGCATATAAAGACCAAGTACCGAATGACCACTAGAACAGCAGGCTCTAGTGACTGCACAAGTAAATCGAGCAACAACGAACTGGAAACCGGTCACTTCCACAAAGTGCAGTAACAGACCCAGGTTTTTTATCTTAATTTCGGTAACCCATTAGCTTCTGTTTTTGAAATTCGAATAGTGGTTATCAAAGGATCATTTTTTTTTCTTTTTTAAGAGGATTCTAAACGTATTGAATTGAAAGATGCCTCCTTTAGAAGCCAAAAGGAAAGGGAAGACGAAGCCGTACCGCTTTACCGAAAATTTTGAGAAGACGACGAAGCAAGCGTTTGGAAACGCGGAGAGCATTCCCGTAATTCCGGGCGGCGGAGGCCACCCTATCCACATCCGACTCGGCCCCAGTCAACTCTCCCACTAAACCCATAAGCTCGTTAAGCTCGGCAATGGCGCCGTACATCTCATCATAGTCGATACCTCCCCAAGCATAGTTCCTCGCGTAGTCCCACCCAACAGACCACGCACTGCTCAGAAACCCTAATCCTAACCACCGCTCCATCTTCTCGGCGATTAACCAAGCACGAGCGGAGCCCGAGACGTCGCCGCGGGAGGCGCGTAGGTTGGCGACGCGAAGGATCAGAGTTCGCGAGATCGAGAAGAGGGTTCTGTACTGGGAGAAGGGCAAAGAGAAGGAAAAGGAGAATGCGTCAGCGAGAGGCGGAGCCGGAGAAGAGGCGAAAAAGAGGAGGAGGAAGATAATGGAGATCTTGGTCGCCGGCGGTGGATATTTCCCAGCCATCGATTAGGTCGCGGAACGGAGCGACGGGGAGAAAGCAGAGAACCAGTTTTGGCTGCGACCGGTTCGTGAAAAAGGAAAAGGTAAGGGTGGGTCCTACATGTACCGGTTGAACCGGAAATTTTCCTTGTCGGTTTAGTTAATATTATAGTTCGGTTAGTTAATTATGGTAAATTATAGTTTTTATTTAAAGAGAAATGGGTAGAAAGTCAGCAGAGCAATATCAAACAAAGGCCTATGAATGAAGAATACGAAAATGGGCCATACCTATGTATAAGACAAAGTTGGCCCAACCCAACACTATGACCACTTTCTACGGTCCATTCTCATTTCAATGGGACTTTAGGCTTTGACAAATACTAATAATACAAACATGTATTCCCAAATCGTACCCATTCGTTCATTGGTCAAATTATACATCACTGTAATGCGACCCATTTTTCCATCCAATATATATATATATATATACAGAGATTTAGAACAATTATGGAAAAATTTATCGTCCAAGCAGTAATACTAATATGATTAATAAAAAAAAATAGAAGACATTTTTAATTTGATGTTAGTTTTTCTTAGTTTTATATAAATGAGTATAGACAATTAAAATTAATATTCTTCCATGGTGAGTTTATAACCAATGTTCGTACCACCCATATTTAACAGGCATGAATCCAAATATCAATAAATGTAATATTATTGTCTTTACTTGGATCGATGCCAAAATTACATTTTCCTCTACCATAAATATAACTTTATTATGCGAAGTACACGATTTCTAAAACAAATAGGTGCTAAAAATGGAGTGGGAATAAACAAAAAGAATAATGAAAAATATATATATATATATATATATATATATATATATATATAATCTAAAAAAAGGAGAAAACTGAAAACTTCCCGAGAGAGGTGAGGGAAGACAGTGAATTTTCTATGGAAACGGCCAAAAGGATATTTCCAAGGAAACAGAAGACCTTATGCATCTGGACCCCAATCAGATCCCTAGATTCTCGAAAACCAATTATACATTTCCATTTTTTAACACGTTTGTTGCAATTACTCCAATCGAAAATAAGTAAATATTGGTGGATGTATATTGACATGATAAAATGTTGTAAGGAAATTAATATTTTTTTTAGAAAATTATCGGATTTGTTTCCTTGTTTAAAAACAAAAACTAATATAAATAGGCCATAATAACACCCTATAGCATTAGGGGTGGTATCTAACATAACCCCGAAATCTAAAAGCTATGAAGCTTACTTCTTCTTTCTTCCCTCTCCTTCTCCTCCTCCTCCTCCCGCTTTTAGCTTCATGCGTTGAAAAGCAGGTTTTTTTATTTATTTATATTTCTTCTCTGAATCCATATTTTGTTGCCACATTTCACTTGTATGATCGATTTCTTCTTGAAGTTTAATGATTGATGTGTTTCCTTGTGGGTTTTCAGGTGTACATAGTCTATTTCGGAGAACACAAAGGTGATAAAGAACTGCATGAGATTGAATCTCTCCATCATTCTTACCTTCTCTCGGTTAAAGACTCTGAAGAAGAAGCCAAATCTTCGCTTTTGTACAGCTATAAGCACAGCATCAATGGCTTTGCCGCCACGTTAACAGCTGAAGAGGCCTCTAGACTCGAAAGTAACAATCTTTTCTTCTCTCCTGTGCTCAAAATTTGTTTTTGAATGAAACCCAATGGATAGCTTTATCCGATGAGAAAAGGGTATCCGTTAAGTTTTAGAATTTTTTTTTATCTTCCGACAGAATTGGAAGAAGTGGTGTCCGTGTTCAAGAGTCATCCGAGAAAGTTCGAGCAGCACACAACAAGGTCATGGCAGTTTCTGGGGTTGGAGGAAGATGAAGACGATGATAGACATAACAAAAACAATGTTAATGGCCGGTTTAGGATCG